TATTTTTAAAATTCTTACCTGCGTATTTCAGGACCCAATTATATCGAGATCATTATCAACTGAACAGGTTATGGATGCAATGTTATTAGTCAGGAAAGAAAAACCTGTGAAACTTGCTCTCTTTGCTCAAAAGCCAAGAATGAAAACAATGATAGAGACACTTATTGTCATGGCAACACCTAGAAAGGAATTTCTCTGGTTTCCTTGGTAAAGATCTTGTGTCTCATTTAGAGTCTGTTTATAGGAGAGTTTTCAAAGTACCAAAGTCAATAAAACAAATGCAGTGTGTTCAGGAAAAAAGTAGTTTAGGTTTTTTTTGTTTTGTTTTCCATTTTGCTCTGAAATAGAAAGAAGCATGATAGTAGTCTCTGTGTTTTATACAGACAATTATTGACGTATGACCGGTTGCTTAGTGATCATTCAAAGTTACAACAGCCTTTCCCCCAACACTACTTATGATCTACTTTGAAGTTATCTTGGCCCCACACACCACGTAGTCACATTTTGGGCACTTGGCAAACCAGCTTGTCTTTTGGGCCATTTGCAGTGGCCTATTGTCACACAACTGCAATCTCCGATGGTTTTTACCAGTTTCTGGAATTTATTTCCAGTTTCTGGCAAAAAATGTCCATTAGGTAAAATGGATTCATTTAACAACCACTGCAAACAGGTCATAACATTGGGTCATAATTAATGACCTACTTGTTATGTTATGTTATGTTTATTATACTTGTATGCCGCCTTATTCCCGAGGGACTCAGGGCGGCTAACAAACAAGTGGGGAAGGGGGAAGTACAAAAAAACAAACCAAACAAAAACAAGATACAAGAACAAAAACTACACAACTATCGCAACAATTCAAGTGGGGCTGGGAACTCATCAGCCCCAGGCCTGCTGGAACAGCCAGGTCTTGATGGCTTTGCTGAAAGCCTGAAGGGTGGTGAGGGTCCGAATCTCCACAGGGAGATCGTTCCAGAGGGCCGGAGCAGCCACAGAGGTCGACAGAGGTCAACAGTCGACATTGGCTAGCTGATGGTATCCAGAGGAGGCC